AAAAAGGAAAAAAGAAGGGAAGCATGGTCAAGATAGAGCTATAATGACCGTGCTTTTGGCTAATGACAAACCATTGTTTTTCTTGTTTAAAAAAAAAAAGGAAAAAGGAAAAAAAAGAAAGAAAAAAAAGAAAAAGAAAAAGGAAAAAAGAAGGGAAGCATGGTCTAGATAGAGCTATAATGACCGTGCTTTTGGCTAATGACAAACCATTGTTTTTCTTGTTTAAAAAAAAAGAAAGGAAAAAAAGGAAAGAATTTAAGGGGGCAAAAAAGGAAGAAAAAAAAAGAAAAGAAAAAAGGAAAAAAGAAGGAAAAAAAAAAGATAATGACCGTGCATTCTATGCGGGTGGAGAAGGTAGACAACGAGAATGCGCTTGCTTCTTTCATGACCGCGTACTGTACTTTTCCAGTCATAATGTGATTCTTTCTTTTTTGTTTTTGTTTTAATCTGATTCTTTTTCCCGCTCGCAATGTGAACTTTTTTTTTCCCAAATGTGAATTGGTTGGACAGGAAGATCGAACTTCAACACCGGAGAGAAAAGAGAAAGAGGGGAAAACGGATCGGGAGGAAAGAGACAGGAGAAAGGCGAAGAGAGGAGAAAATGGAGGAGGGAGGAAGGAGGAAGGTACCACAGAAGACAGCAGAGGGCGAAGAAGAGAGGAAGAGAGGAGAAAAGAGGAGAGAAGAAAGAACAGAAGCAGCGATGAGATCAATAGACAAGAGAGTCGAGGCAGAGAGGGAAGAGAACACAAGGAGAGGGAGAGGGAGGGGGGAGGGGGGAAGACAACAGAGTAGAGGGAGTAGGGAGTACAGTCAGAGGAAAGAGAGAAGAGAGGGGACCGTGAAGGGGAAGAGAGATGGGAGGGGAGTAGAGCAACGAGAGACCGGAGAGAACGGACCAAGAACAAAAAACGCAGAGAGAAGAAACGCGAGACAGGGAACAGGGGACGGACGAAGCAGAAGAGAGAAGATGAGAGTAGAGAGAGAAGAGAGATGATTGGAAAGGAAAAGATGGGAGCAGAGAGAAGATAGGCGAGGAGAAAACGCAAGAGAGGAACGAAGGTGGGGGAGGAGCGTATGTAATGAGGGAGAGAAGGATTGGGAGAGTAAACGAGAGGGAAAACGAGGCGGAGAGAGCAGGAGAGAGGGGAGGGAAAAGGGAGGAGAGATAGGGGAGGCATCCACATCATCTGCATATGCCTCTCTCTACCGTAGCGAGGCGGAAGAACGGGGAGAGGAGGAAAAAGCAGAGAGGAAAAAAGGGAGGAGGGGGATCGGTCAACACACACTAAGGTAGGCATTCAGATGGAATATATACGACCATCGTCCCGGGCGGTTAACACTACCCTTCTTCCCCCTGACATAACGCGTATGCGTTGTAAACGAATACAACGCACAGGGTGGTGCGCTCTCTTCGAATACAACGCATATGGGTTCAATTTTCGAATAGCCCTAAATTTTGAATACAACGCGCATGCGTTCTATTCGATTTTTTTTCCCAAAATTTGAAACTCGAATACAACCCATATGCGTTATGTTCGGGGGAAGAAGGGTAGGGTAGGACAAGAGGGGGGCAGGGGGGAGGGGGAGGGGTGCACCAGGGAAATTGACGAGAGAACGGGTGGGTCGGGGGTCTTCTGCTGGGGGTTCCTCCCCTTCCCCCCCCCAAAAAAAAGAAGCAGCAAAAAAAA